AAAATTATGAAGGGTAGTGTGACTAGGATGAAAGATCACCTTTCAGGGTCTCACAAGAATGTTAATCCACGCTCCAAAGTTCATGATAATGTAAGTGAGGAGATAAAATCATACATGAATAAGTCTACCACGTCAAAACATATTGCACAGAAACAATTTGAGGATAGAGTTGATGTTGGCTCTTACTACGGGAGTGAGCGCAGCGTTAAAGATTTTGTCTTCTTCGATGAAGCCCATTTCATCTAGGAGTGCTAGAGAGCCTATGGATAATTATATGGTGGACACATCAAAGGATATGCCTCCTATTACACAGAAGATGGCCCCAGAAAATACAAGGGAGACAAGGAGAAGAGTGTGTAAGGATATAGGCAAATTCTTCTATGAAAATGCAATTTCATTTAATGTTGCAACATCACCTGCCTATTACAACATGATTCGTTCAATTGGAGAATTTGGGAGAGGGTTCAAACCTCCAACCATGTATGATTTGAGAACATGGATTCTGAATGAGTTGAAAAGCACTGATAAAAGCATCGAAGAAATTAAGAGGACTTGGACCCAAACAGGACTAACAATTATGTCAGATGGGTGGTCTAGCATTAAACATAGAAGTCTAATCAATATTCTCATTAATAATCATTATAATAATGTATTTTTAAGATCAGTTGAAGCATCTGACCAGGTCAAACATGCTGAGTTCATATTTGAATTATTAGATAGCATTGTTGACGAGGTTGAAGAACATTTGGTTGTACAAGTTGTGACAGATAATGCAAGTGCTTACAAGGCTGCAGGTAACAAACTTATGAAGAAGAGGAAACATCTGTATTGGACACCATGTGCTGCACATTGTATATATCTGATTCTTGAGAAGCTTTGCAAGCTACCTCAACATAAGAATGCACTTACTAAAGCAAAAAAAATAACCAAATTTATTTACAGCCACTCTTGGAATCTAGTTCTTATGAGAAAATTTTCAAAGAAAGAAATTCTAAGGCCAGCAGCAACAAGATTTGTCACCACTTACTTGATCTTAGAAAGCATGATGAATGCTAGACAACCTTTAGAGGCTATATTCACATCTACACAGTGATTGAGTTGTGCTTGAGTGAAGAAAGCTGAGGAAAAAGATATTAGAAAAATTGTTTTAAATGATATAATTTGACAAAGTATCTTATATGTCATTATAACCACTAGACATTTGGTTCAAGTTTTAAGGATGATAGATGCTGAGAAGAAGCCTGCAATGATTTCATCTACAATGCCATGGATGAAGCCAAAGAAATGATTGTCTCCAACTTAGGAGGCGAAGAGGGTACTTTAGGAAAATTTGTAATATTATTGATGATAGATGGGAGCCACAACTTCACCGGCACTTGCATGCAGTTGGTTATTACCTAAATCCTCAATATCAATATGCAGAGAATAAGTCTACAAACTCTGAAATAAAGTCGGGATAGTATCATTACATGGATCGACTAATAAATGATGCAACTAAAATATCAAATGTTTACATACAATTTGTACCTTTTAGGAACAAAGAAGACTTTTTTAGATTACAACAAGCAAAGGATACAATTGACAAACGATCTCTAGGTAATTTTTTTTAATGTTTAAAACATTTATTTAAAAGTTATTTTTCGCATTAATTAAACTCTCTTATATAAATATTAATTGAGTGGTGGATTCAATTTGGCGGTGGGATTCCAGAACTGCAGCATTTTGCTGTGAAAGTTTTGGGCTTGACATGTTTTTCATCTGGCTATGAAAGAAATTGGAGTACCTACAATCAAGTACATACAAAAAGGAGAAATTGCTTATCCACATTGAGGATAAATTCACGGGTGTACATTATGTATAATAGAAGATTCAGAGATAAGAATTTGAAGAAAAAATGATTAATGGATGATGAATATCCTTTGCTTTACAAGGAAGTGGCATCTGATGATGAGTGGTTTGTAGATGATGAAAATGAAATGATACCGTCTGAAGTATAAGATGAAGATTTAAATATTGATTTCTTTGATGGTCTTAAAGCATCTACATCCATCATAACTCAAGAACAAATCAAAAAAGGTATATAAATAATAAAGTTTACTTAGACTTTTATTAACATATTACACTATTATTTATTTTGAGATTATTCAAAAATATTTAGGGAAAAAGAAGATAACTGGTATTGAGGAATGACCTGATTGGGAGACATTGGACTCTATATGAGAGGACGAAGGGGAGAGAGCAATTCATCATACTGATGATTCAAATGAAGACCCCCTTAGTGATGACAGTGCTGATGACTTGTGAGTTCTTATGTGATATGTCATTGTTATTTATTTTTGGAATTATATGTTAATGAAAAGAATACTGTGATTTGGAAAAAATGGAGTTTAAGTTGAATTATATTTCATGTTGTCTTATTATTGAGATATTTTGATTTCATTTCATATCTTATGCATTTTTATGTTTTATATATTATTTACTCATTAGTATATACAAAATTTATGATTTTATGTTTACGCAATTTTTTAATTTTGAGACTTACGCCTCAAAACGCCTTGAGGCTTACGCCTCGCCTCACGAACGAAAAACGCCTCAATACCCGATTACGCAATTTTAAACATTGATTCCACCATGATGCAATGAAAAATCTGGAGGTGACAAAGTGTGTTAGTTAAAAAAGACTCCATATGGGCTAAAGCAGTCACTTAGAGTTTAATTTGAAAGATTATCAAATTTTATGTCACTCAATGGATATTGGCGAAGCCAAGGAGGGGACCATACATTATTCTTCAAGCACTCAGACTAAGGGGGGGCATAATTTTATTAGTTTTTGTGGATGATATCATCTTGACTGAAAATGATGAAAAGGAGAAACTGATTTTAAGGAAATATCTTGCCAAGGAATTTAAGATCAAAGAACTTGAAATATTAAAATATTTTTTTGGAACTAAAGTGATCCACTCCAACAGAGGAATCTTCATTTCACAATAGAAATACATTAATGATCTTCTTAAAGAAGCAGATAAACTAGCTTGTAAACTAGCACCAATACCAGTAGAACCAAATCTTAAATTAGAGGAAGCTAAAAAAACCAGACATAAACAAGGGAGCTTACTAGAGACTTGAGGGAAAATCGATCTTCCTTTCTCACACTAGACCAAATATAGCATTTGATATAAGCATGGTCAGCCAGTTCATGCAAAATCCAAAGAAGACTCACGTACAAGCTGTAGACAGAATACTGCACAACTTTAAAGGGAATCCAGGTAAAGGGGTTTTCTTCAAAAGAGACTGTGAAATAACCCTAGAAACATATAATAATGTAGATTACACAGGATCACCAATAGATAGATGATCTACCTCAAGATACTACACATTCCTTGAAGGAAACCTTATTACATTGAGCAAGAAATAGAGTATAGTGGCAAAGTCCAGTGCAGAAGCAGAGTACAGAGCTATGGCCTTAAGAATGTATGAGATACTATGGAGCAAGATGATTCTAGAAGACCTAAGAATAAAGTGGGAAGGACCCATAAGCTACACTATGACAACAAATCAGGAATCAACATAACTAACAATATGATTCAGTATAACAGGACTAAGCATATAGAAGTGGATATACAATTTATAAAGGAGAAATTAAATAATGTTCTTATATGTATCTATCATGTCTCATCAAAAGATTAAATTGCAGACATTCTTACTAAGGGACTTGATAACTCTACCTTCCTAGGACTGATTACCAAGCTGAGAATGACAGATCTATATTCCCCAACTCAAGGGGGAGTGTTAAATCTCAATCGTCTCTTAATACTTAATCTCACAGCCATGATGGAAATCTGTGGGAGGCTCATCTAGATCATGTCAATCTTTGTTAAATCCCAACCATCCCTTGACACTTGATCCCATGGCCAAGATGGGAATTCGTGGGAGGCTCACCTGGATCACGCCAAGCTTCTTCCATATTTGGGTGGCTGATTTAGAAAGAATTATATTAGGGCAATTATGCATTATTCTATAATTGGTTGTTTCTTCATTAAGATATCTTGTATAATAAATCTATAAATAGGGATAATTTTGTGCAATAAAATTAAGCTTTTTCTCTCTCCAATTCAGTGATTTTAACAATTAGGGCCCTTGGATGATAGGTTTACATGATTATAAGAAAAGGCCAAATGTAATCCCTCAACTGTTTATATGTGGTTAATTTACAAAGCATCACTCAACTGTTCATATGTGGTTAATTTACAAAGCATCACTTTATTTTTAATTTAGTTCATCACATATATTAAATTGATTCAAAATTGTCCCTCATTAAATAAATGGGGATCAATTTTATGTAATCAAAGCACTAACGTGGGATCAATTTTGCATCCCAAATTCTATTTCTCTCTTAAGAAACATTTAGGATCAATTTTATACTGTCAAAGGACAAAATTGAAGAAATATAATATTCTAGGATTGAATTGACTACAAACGAATAATCGAGAGACTATTTTGGATTTTTTCATCATGATTACCATCATCAATTGACATCACAATACAATCTAAATGGGTCCCACATACAATAAAAGATACGCTTTTAGACTATTAAATATTGTGCAAGTTTTGGGGGTAACCAATCATAAAGTGCATTCTTAGAATTGATTTGGCATAAGTAGGTAAATACATGGAAACAATCATCAGCCGTTCCTCTCCTTTTAAACAGTTTTTCCCTTGGATGCCAAATACATTGCTAGTTAGCACTAACACCTAACCATGAATATTGCATTGCACAATACGAGCTAAGTAGCATAAGCGTTCAAGCAGACCACTACAAGACTTTCAGATTCATCACAGAACTTTGTACAGCAGAAATGTGATTAACAAAGTAACAATAAGCAAAGAAGTCAAAAGTTCATAAGTCTGCAAGCCAGATAAAAGACCCGGATGGAATTACTACATTGATAAATGAAAGCAAAGGTCAGAAACACAAAAGTATAAGGTTCAAAAAGTTATACCTGTTTTTCTTTGTTCCCTACAGTAGCTAGACCAAGAAAACGAGTAACATGTACAGCATCATCATTGGAATAAGGTTCACGTGCATAAAATACATCTTTAGTTCCAGCAATATGATACCTATACAAAAGGTCAACAACCTCAATTGCACAAATATGGTGAACAAACCAAAAACATATTTGCTTTCCACAACAAAGAACAGAAGCAAGAATCTAGAATGAATTTGTCTATAAATCAACTCCAAAAATTATGTGAAGATACGTGAAAGAGAGTAACCATGAAAATAAGTAGATACAACAAAAAGAATAGTCACAAACCATAAATATTTGTCCATGGTAGCTGAGTTGTAATAGGTATTTCTTTAAAAATAAGATAGAATCATACTCCAAATATTTTATTAATTAATAAATAAGACACAAGGTCAATTACAAATAAATAGACGAGAGATCAATTATTGATAAGAGGAGAACAAAACAACAACAACAACAATAACAAACCTCTATCCACTACAATGCCCGATGCATTCCTTCACTTCAACCATCCAACATGAATTCTATTAATAATATCCTGTCCTATTTCACCATCGCTTTGAACAATAGACCCAATATAACTTAAACGTATTGTCTTTTTAATGAAATGGTCAAAGAATGTCACAATCTCACCATTATATCTATTGCTCCTAAAATTACACTACATGTATTTGGTTATAATTCAAGTTTTTCTTCAACTCCTCCTCTAGTCTTATCAACAAGAAGAATATCATTAGCAAAAATCATACACCAAGGTACATCCTCATGCAAATGTCCAGTAAGAACATCCATGATGAAAGCAAAAAGCTTTGGGCTTAAAGCTAATCCTTGGTGTAATCCAACTAAAATACGAAAATACTTGGTCAAATAACATTATGTTTGAACACAAATATCAACACCTGCATACATATCCTTAATGACTTAAAAAACATAATTAACTCTTTTCTTTCCTAGAAATCTCGAGAGCACTTCTCTTGGGACTTTATCATATGCTTTCTCTAAATCAATAAATATCATAGGTAAATGCTCTTTACTCTCTCTATAATTCACCATCAAACCTCTCAACAAATTTATAGCTTTCATGGTAGACCTACCCAGCATGAATCCAAACTTAATTTGAATTTAAAACCAATCACAATCAAACACTTACCGAGGCTTTATCTCCACAGCCAGTTCCGCAACAACAGGATCACTGCCCGAAGGATCTGATACTCCTAGGGCTGCCTCAGATAAATCAGTTCTATTCCAGACCCCAGATGGCCATTCATTAGTAATCACGAGTCAAGGAAGCCGGATAACACCAATGCAACATGAACAAGCTTCAAAAAAACATGACTTGAACCAGAAACGAAAAGGAAGAAGGATATGTCATGAAAATATCCACAACTCCTGGCTCCTCCGCTAAGGCTCTCAATGCATCGACATCGTCTCTACTGTACCGCCCATTACCTTCGGCATCGGGAATTTGCCTACCGGACAAATAAAAAATCGATAAACCTACAATAACTCAAAGCAGTGCACAAGAATTAGTACCATCAATAGCAGCATATAACAAAGGGAGAAACTTGGGAAGCGACAGGTAAGAAAACAGGGTACATACCATGGAAGGAGAACTTGCCGCTACCCTTGAGCCAATAGAGATTAGGGCAGACCTCAAGGCCATCCATCTTGAAGCCCTTGTTGGAGGGGATCTTGGCGGCAGCAGAGAGGAAGCGAGTGGCTCCAGCACCATAGTCTCCAATGAAGTAGGTGGAGATGGGGATGGGAGACAAACCATCAAGGTAATTAGCGACCTCCTCCAGATTATCGGCGGTGTCAGGGAAAAACTGGCCGACGCAGAGGAGAGCGTCGAAGGGACCGGTGGACTTATTCACCTGCAGGATTTAAGGACGGAGGCAAGAGAACCAGGATGAGGGTTAGTTTTGATACCATAGCAGGAAATATAGTAGGTGGGAGAGAGAGAGCCGGATAGGGAAGAGATGGACCGATTGGACTCGCTTGAAGAGCTGGTTGAGGCGACCGAGGACATCGCCGCAGAGAAGAATTCTTGGAGAAGATGAGACCATGAGGATTGACGAGAAGAGGCGGGAGAGGGAGATTTTTTGAGAAATTAAAAGACGAAGTGAATGAGAACAAGATAGAAAGAGAGGCGAGGCGAGGCGAGGCGAGGCGAGGGTTTAGGACTTTCTAAGGATGGGAAGCATAACAGTTTAAGATGCGGTGCCGATAAACGGTAAGAGGGTGATTTTATTTTAGTGGGATTTAATAAATTTTGTGAATTCAAATTTATAAAATTTTATTTAATTATTTTTTATTATTTATTTAATTATGTTTACATAACTAGATATTGGATTGTTAATTACAAGGCTAATTAATTAATTAATAATTTAAGAATTTTTTATAAAAAATAATTTTGATTATGGCATTAATTAACTAGTTAGTTTTTAATATTCCTGTTATATTAATTAAGTTCAATAGAATTAATTTATAATTTAATTGATAGGTCGCCTAGGGGTTTGCTGTTCAACTTCTCCATTTCTTTTTTTTTCTTTTTTTGGACATTTAGGCCATTTAAGTCAAATTCACACACACAACGCATACACATAGACTCAAACATTGGACCTCTTAGTTGGAAGCCTAAGCTCTCAACCAATAGGCCAAGGAGAGTTGTGTGTAACTTCTCCATTTCTTCGTTCAAGCTTCTTTTGGTGGCCATTTCTTTGTTGCTGCTACACTTCGCGTGCTTCACGTAAAATAGTGTTTCATTGTTGTAGCTTCTCCTAGCAACCATTGCTTCGTCGATTCGCTTGTTCGACGACATCGGATTTGATGTCATGACATGAGCTCACTCGCTGCGAATGTAACATCTTTCTCATAGTAAGTATTCACTCCTAAGCTGGTAAATCTCTTAAATCTGCCGAACGACAGGATTCAGTTAGGGGTTGTTTGGTTGCCTAAATTAGGAGGGTAAAGTAAAATAATTACATGTATTTACTAAATTCGGTTGTTTGGTTACTTTTGAGCGGAACGAAAGGAATACCTCTGAAGTAATAGCGGGGTATTAGGGGAGGCAGTTAGTGTGACTTCCATACCCGCTCAAATTTAGCGGGTTAGAAATTCTTTGGCAGCTGTTGAGCAATGATTTCGCAGAAGCTAACCTTCTCTATTCTTCCTTGCTCTCTTCTCCATTCCTGCGATCACGCTGACGTTCCAGCATCGTCGCTTCGCTTGGTTCCGCAAAACCGTCGTGGAGATCTTCCTTCACTTCGGCGTCGACTGACGTGGGAGATCCCGACGGACAAGTGACAACCTTCTCAAGTCCGCGAGCTCTACGACCTCTTCAAACATTCTCTCTATTTCTCAGGGAGGCAAGGCAGGGATGGCGGCGATGGAGTTGGACGTGGAGATGGAGGAGAAATTGGCGACGGTTGGAGGCGAAAGGGGAGAGACCAATCCACCGTCGAATGCTTCCTCCCCCGTACCTGGAGATGACAATCGTAGTTGCGGAGTCAACCTGCCCGAGAAATTGAGGTCAGAGGAGGATGGTGATGAGAAGGAAGAGAACAGTCCTTCTACCAGGGGATTGCGAAAGCGAGGAGTAGATTCGCATTCTCATTGGAAGAGAAGCCTATGTTCCTTCTTCCGCCGGCCGCCTGGAGGGGTCTGCCGGCACGGCGACGCCTGCTGCTTTGCCCACGGCGAGGCTGAGCTCCGACCGCACCCAGATAATTCGTGGGATCCGACCTCCGAGAGAGCCAAGAAGCTCCTCAAAACAAACGACGGCGATGCTATCTCGAGCTTGACCGCGGAAGACGAAGATGCTGCCATTGATTTGTCCGGCCTTGACAAGTGCCTTATAGGTCTCCCTAAGAAGTGGGCTTCCGAAAACCTTAAGTGCTTCCTTGATCCCCAACAACAGATGTACCTGCCATACCTGAAAATAAATAGCCTATATTAATGAAGTAAATACACCTACATGATAAAAGAAACAAAGTTGAAGCAAAATAAAACCGCATATGAAAATCCACTTATTTAGTTAATGATAAAGCATAATATAAAAATTCAAAGATTTTTCTTAAATGTAATAAATCAAATCTTAGTCAGGATAAGTTAGTTAGAATGGAAGCCCCAAACTGGCATAATTGGCCCAGGCCTTGGTATGATTAAGACTTTTTATAACAAAATAACCAAAACCAATTCCAAACAACTGTGAAAACTTCAATCACATAAGCAATAATAGCATCAAAACTCCAACCCCAGACCTAATAACTCCATACCCAACATCAGCAGCATAGAAAAAATTATAGCTCCGAACTAATCCAAACATTAGTACCAAAAGGCAACAACAACAGCAATAGTAACTCTAGAAATAAACAATATAAACTCCATCAAACAACACAATAGCCACAGAACTAACTTCTGTTATAATCAATATAATCAGGAACAACCAAAACAATAAAGATACCAAGAATTTTGTATGGAAACATTAAGATATACTCCATGCGTTCCACCGCCGATAATCAACATAATATAAAAGAAACATATTCTTTAGAGAATAAAAGTAAAATTTACATCATAGCCTCCGACACTCAATCCAAACTATTCATCTATCCTGAATAAGGTAAACCCAATTTATTGATGCTTGTTGAGCGCTTGTTCTGTTAATTGTGCATCACTCTATCGTATTTGCCATTTGCCTCTCTTGTTGTAGCAAAAGTGGAACATTGTTGAATGATGATTGGAAAGATCAAGCCTTTACTGTTGGCATTCACTTGTTTCTGGGCTGCAAAATCTATGTTCTTCATGCTTGAGTACTTAATTGCATGGTGTTTGGTCCTTTTTATGAGTTTCTGCTTCATTTTAGAGCCACATGTGTCCACATGCAGGAGGGCTTCCATGCAAACTTGAAGGAATACTAGAATCTCCACTTGTTAATGGTTATCGGAATAAGTGCGAACAGTTGGATATTCTTTAGAGGGTAAACTGATTGAATATTATATCATATAATTTCAAAAAAAAATTATAACTGATTTTATAAATACATTAGTTATAATGACAAAAAAAAAAAATTACAAATGCATTGCTTTTACTTTATTCTAGATATATCTAACCAAATAAGGGAAACAGTTCTCCTGTGTTTACTTTGCAAACAACGAAACTGCGTCAAAGTATTTGGAATGCACTACATTTACTTTACACTGCATTTACTTTATACTGTGTTTATTGTGCAGGCAACCAAACACCCCTTAATCTGTAAATTCGAGATTTAGGAGGCATTCAGATTTATTGCTCATTCGAAAATTGTTTGACAGGATTTACCATAAATTTGGCGTATATCCTACTTTAAATCCGATATGAAATATCCCCTAAGGCAGACAGTTTTCGTTTTTTTTTTTTCAATTTCTATTTTGTCATTATTTTTTATTATTTTAAAAAAATTACTAAGAAGATAATTTTTAAAAGAATTTTAAATAATAAATTTTTTAAAAAATTTATAAAAAAATTAAAAAAAAAATCATCACAAATTAAGCCTAAAATTAGTAAAGACTTGTTGGGTTATAAGTAGAATTTAATTTGAGTAGAATTTAATACATCTTCATTAACATCAATGTCAAGTCTTTAAATCTTTTTTTTATGTGTTTAGTATTAAAAGTCAAATTATCATTTAAATTTAATAAAGAATCCTTTCTAATATTTTCTAATAATGTAATAAATTTTAAAATTCAATTATATTAAATTGTAAGGGTTTTAAATTATGAAAATTATTTGGCATTATAGGAATAAAATTATTTAGTAATATAATTTATGATTTAAGATGATTAATTTAAACAAGATTCAAACAAAAGAAATTCTAATGATATAAGAATATTTCATATAAATATCCAGAACATCAAGAGCATCATCATATCCAATAAATTAAAAACCAAATTTTTTTATTTCTTAGTGGTTAGCATGCATCTCAAGTTTATTGATGTCATTGTGCAAATGGATTAATGCATTTGTAAATTGCCACTTGAATATAAAAAAAAAATAACTGCTTAATAAAATGAACAATTTAGGGTCTGTTTGGGACGGCTTTTTAACCGCTTCTTAAATCAACTTTCTAGTACAAAAATCAAAATATTTGTAATAGAAAGCTACTTTACGAAGCAATAAGAAAGTCGTCCCAACCGAAGTCTTACATGTGCTTCTCATAAGTCAATGGCGATTGCATGTCTCATTGCATCACCTCAAACTCTCTCTTATAATTGTTGTAAGCACATTATGGCCGTTATTATTGGCATGTACCTCACCCAAATCGTTGTCATGTTACATTTTTTGTTTGAAATATGTTGAAATACTGATTGTGTTTGTAGTAGCGGCCCGTGAAATTATCCAAGGTTGCACATGCAAGCACAATATATCTTAACCGTCAAAGAAAAGTATCACATTTGAGTTAATACTTGAAACCTCTCTTTTCAAATGTCAAACATTATCTCCACTATGTTGCATAATTATGTGTGACGATGATTGCTGACTAGTTGCGAGACGTTTCTCCATTGCAGTTACTTAAACGACATCAGAATCTCCTGAATGGTACATTAGCTTATTGGTTTTAGTGTAGCTAAAATCAACCAATTAATATTAACCATGTGGAACTATAAACTCTCCATCCTCCATTGTCCATCACAATACCCTCATATCTACTGCAAACTCCATCCAAATATATGTGATATAAATGAACTATCAATCAAATGATATCGTTGGCATATCTTCAATGTCTACTATGCAATTATTTATAAATAACTACAAGCATGTGGGTATCATCTATAGCTTCAATTGCATTTTAGAGGTATAAATTAAACTATGGGGTTGATTTTATGAATAGATAGCAGTGGGCTTTCATGAGTACCAAGTTAATGAACTCTTCAGCTAAAAAACTGTTGCTTATAGCACTACATTAAAATGCTAACTCACTATTTGGAGGTTGTTCCGAAAAAAAAAACTCATATAATTATTTGTAAGTATGTGTATTCGTAATAACTCCATAAGTTGCTAATCGGTAATCATACATGTCGAGTCATTTAACAAGCTGCGACTAACTAATAACTCCTTTAGTTGTTGAAATGTCTCAGCTCAAAGTTTGAATAGTTATGGGACCGCAACATATACCCTA